TTGGCTATGTAAGAGAATATCCTTATGCTTAGAAAACACACGCTGAAATATTTAGGAATAAAGGGCCATGACAAATACAATTTACTCTCAAATTGTTCAGTAAAATATATATTATGCATGTATTTATTGAGAGAGAGAGAGAATCCTCTCTCTCATGCAAATGATAGAGCAAATGAAATAAAATGCTAACAATAAGTAAACCTGAGTAAAGAGTATGCGTTAGCTTGCTAAGGTGGTCAAACAAAGTACTACAAACTGGGTGGCTTAAACCTCAGAAATTTACTGTCTCACAGTTCTGGAGGTTGGAAGTCCAAGATCAAGGTGTCAGCAGGGTTGGTTCCTTCTGAGGCTGTGACGGGGAAGTGTTCCAGGCCTCTCTCCTGGCTGCTGGTGGTTTGCTGCAAACCTTTCGTGTTCCTTGCCTTGTAGACAGTCACCCCCATCTCTGCCTTCATGTTCACATGGCATTGTCCCTGTGTGTGTCTCTGTGTCCACATTTCCCCTTTGCATAAGGACACCAGTCATATTGGATTAAGGCCTAAGCTAATGACCTTAAGTTTAATTACCCCTGTAAAGACCCTATTTCCAAATCAGGTTACATTCTGTGGTATCAGGACTAAGACTTCAGCATATCTGTTTTGGGCGGGGGTGGGGGGACACAATTCAACCCCTAACAAGTATATGGATAATTTTTATACAATTTTTATTCTTGTAACTTTTCTGTAAGTTTGAAATTATTTCCAGGTAAAACATTTTTTTTTAAGGAAAAGAAATTCCTATATGGTCTAAAGAGTGACTTACAAAACCAGGAAGAGAAAAAGTATATCCCAAAGGAACTGCAGGATTCTACCAACTCACATCCACAAGATGCTTGGAATTGACCAAGTAGGATAAATCATTCAATGAGATAGGACCAAATTTATCAATATGGGTTCACTTACCAAGAATTCTAGTTCAACACGTCCAGTAACAGTCTAGGAACTGCTTGTCAAATGGGCATGTTTTGCTCCATTAGGCCTTGTCAGGGGCTGCATACAGCATCCCTATCCATCACAGCCATTTTGAATTCTGTTGGATCTGTTATAATAGTTGCAGATCCTTCTTTTGGGATCTGCAACTATTATAGATAGTTGAACAGCTGTTAGGTGCCAAATGGCTCTAAGAGTATGCTTGTGAAGACTGGTTCATAGATGGCCTAGATTGAGAGGCTGGAATTTTCCCAGCATATGTTAGAGGAAGGACTATACTGGCTCACTGAGATGGGAATGTTGGAGTTAATTCATTACGTGCAGCCTGCTCAGCCAACCCCTACCGTACAACCCAGGAGGCCCAGAAATGCTTTAGTGAAGGGAGCACCAGAATCCATAAAAGTCCTAGTGCCAACTGTCCTCTGTACACCAGAGATGCTGGTGGGAGATAACTGCAGTAGAATTGGGCGCCCTCATTTCAATGGGAATAATGGGATCCCTGTGTGGTAGCAGTGTGGTGGCAGCACTTGACCATCGAGGACAAAGTAGGCACAATTAGCATAATAAAACACGGGGACAGAGTGGCCATCAGAGCATTTTGGCTCTCAAGGTCTGTGGCAGTGGCTAATTGATCATAAAGTTCCCAGGAATAAAACAGATGGACAGCCTCCACCAAAGTACAGCTTGATCTGCAAAATCAGAGAAAGTCTAAGCCAGGTATGCAGAAATCTGAGTTGAATGACTATACAGAAAGTACCCAATTCCCATCAGTTCACAGATCCAGAGTCCTAACTGAAAGAGTGGGAGGTGGAGTCGTTGAGAGCCCAGAGTGATACTAAGACCAGGAATCTCTTACAGCATCAATCTGCACATGCGTGTGCTATTCTCCAGCAGGACTCAGCCTCCTCAATGCTCATTGACTATACAGTTATTGCCCCTATTTCAAGCCAGTCGCAACATCCAGCAAGATGCACCACAGGGTGGATCCAGGGCTGTTCATCTGAAGAGTGGATACAGGTGGGATAAGAAGCAAAGACGCTGAGCATGCTGAGTGTCCAAGCAAGGCTACAGCATGAGGAGGCAGATAAACTAGGAGGAAAAGATAGATCTGTTAAGCTAACATCAGGGAGGAAGAAAGTAGGAAATTGCTAAGAAGAACCAAGGAGAGAGTTGAGGGCAGGAAAGTTAAGAGATTGTTTATGAGTTTTGAGATTTTGAAGTGGAAGGTAAAAAGCAATATAGAGTTTAATACGAATCACTGAACTGAGGTCCAGGAGCTTGAGGCTGGATGCTGGATGCTGGATGCTGGGCATCTTATGTGACTTAGAAGTTGTCAGGGAGAACGGGAGCCAGGTGCCCAGACGCTCAATGAGGCTTCGAGATCAGGACAAGGAGGCCCAAAAGATGTAAAAACCCACACGGTGCGGTACCTCTCTTCTGTACTTTAAGATGCCAGCATGATACCCTAGGACAAATATTTATCTGGAGATCTTTCAAAATTAAGAGGTTGGCTAGAAAATATCCACAAGTCTTATCTTGTATTCTGGCAAAAACTCAATTGATTGGCATCTAAATTATAACCAGAGCTCCCTTATTTAGCCCTAGCTTTAAAATGTTTAATTTTCGGTTGTTACCTAATACAACACTAGAGAACTAAAGACTCAGGAACAGGTACACAGTTTTGTTTTGGTTTCTGTTTTGTAACCCCATAACCAAAACATAAAGTTTAAAGATTAAAGTCTAATCAGTCATTTTTGCCAGTTTACACATTATACAATTTATACATTAAAATCAATGAAATAATGAAAAAAAATTTAAGCTAGCAATCTGGTTTTTTTTGGTCTACACTTTGTAAGATAAAAATTATCCTGATTTTTATATTTATGTATATATATACATATATATATATGTATATATATATATCTTTTTACTTTTTTTGGCCACACTTGCAGGATCTTAGTTCTCCGACCAGGGATTTAACCCGGGGCCATGGCAATGAAAGCGCCAAGTCCTAACTACTGGACCAAAGGGAAGTCCCCTGATCTGTTTAAATTCAATTTTCTACCTTCCTTTCTACAAAGCTGAAAGAATTCTATCACTGAGCAATCCATCCCAGCCTACAAAGAGATCGCATAATCACGCTGTTCCTGTGCATAATCAGAGGACATTAAATAGCGTTAGGAACCATAATGCTTCCCAAAGCGCTAATACAATTAATGTATCAGAGTGACTGAGGGTAAAGCAATGACTCTTACCTAAAGATATCATTGAGGATACTAATGAAACAAAATCGAGTTTTTAAAATCAAGGTTTTAAAATAAGAGGGGAGATACTAAAGTTATCATTTTTAGACTGGTATTATGAGCGAAATAGCAAAAGAGCCTGGACATTGATGGATTTGGTAGCGTTGGCGCTTTACATGGTGTTCCTTAAAGCCTCATCTTCTTGGTACTTTCCTCTAAAACTAACACACTAATTCACCACTAACTTTACAGTTGTTTTTATTTTATTATTTTTTCGGCCGCACCACACCACATGCAGGATCTTACTTCCCCGACCAGGGAGCCAACCGGTACCCCCTGCAGTGGGGTCGCAGTCTTAACCACTGGACCCCCAGGGAAGTCCCACGGTTGTCTATTTTTAAATATTATAATTACGAAGTACATATTATACTTTACGTATAACCACAGTGTTGACTGAAGAAAAATGCACAACCTAAAATTACTAGTTATGTTTTATTTGGGGACCTTACTGAGGACCATCGCCTGGGAGACAGCCTCTCAGATAGCTCTGCAGGACTGTTCCAAAGAGGTAAGGGGGAGTGAGGATATATAAGAGTTTCTCTGAAAAACACACATGGGAAGATGCAAGAGTCTGGGTCATTAAAGTTACTCCTTAGGTATGCATCTTTATGTAGGGCCACTATCCTGTTTTTCTCCATCCTGAATTCCGCTCATGGGGCACTAATGGGGGGCGGGGGGTGGAGGGGGGCCAGGCTACAGTGGCTGATAGCTTGCGCTTGCGGGCAGGCAATAGTCATTATTTACTAGGATGGCAGGCAACATTCTTTGCCCTCGATAGTAAGTATATATTCATATTTATTTACCATATTTATAATGTTTCCATGTATGAAGTATAGAGTCATTTTTTTTTCCAAAAAAATCAGTTTTGAATCCCTAATCTCGGTTTTAAGTCCAAGATATCAGTGGTACTAGAACCTGCTAAAAGTTTTTTATATAGACCTTGGATTGGAGACTCCAACGAACTGTTGGAAACACACACTTTGGCACATGCCTCCTATTAGGAGAATAAATGCTGCTTCCTCCGGTTCCTAAGTGTGGCCTCCCTTCACGAGATCAGGTAGGCTGTTTTGTTTTCATTTGGTGAAAATGACACTGATTCTGGTTGAAACAGAATTAAAACAGCTATTTTTTGTAGGTCACACTAACACTGTAAACTCAGGTTGGAACAGGATAAACGGCTCGGTAGCTTCCGGCATGCAGCCAAGCACCTGCAAAGTACTAAGACTGCAATTGGCTCAATAAATGCTTTTCGGAGAAACCAGGGAATAAAGAAGCAACGACCATGAGACATGACCGTGCTGAGGACCGAAAGGACCGGTCCAAACGCTGGCTTTACCGCCTGACCGAGAGCAGCGCGAGCCTTTCTGTACATCCGATCCGGAGGTCCCGAGGGGCTCTTCCCGCCGCCTCCGCGCAGCCCCTCGGCGCTCCCCCCTCCAGCGTCTTCCCCGCCCGGCCCCCGGCCGCCCAGCCAAGACTGACCACCCGGCTCCCCGGCGCCGCCAGGACCGGGCTCCGCGCATGCTCCCTGGCTGCACCGGGGTCGCTCCTGAGCAGGGTGAGAATCCGCTCCTCCGCGTCTTGGAGGCGACCTGGAAGAGCCGTGACGAACGCACTAGGTCCCCAGAGGAGGAAGCCGCCGGGCAGAAGCGCAGGGTGGCCGGGAGGAGGCTACTCGCAAAGCCCGGAAGCCCTCCCGGATCCACCCTGCGGCGGCCGCGCGACCCCGGACTTGCGCAGTAGCGTCCGCGGCGGCGGCGGCGGCGGCGGCAGCACGGTCCGCGGCGGCGAGGTCCGCGGCGTCCCCCAGCCGGGAGGTCCGGCAGCCTCAGGCCGCCCGAGGCCTCCCGCGTCATGTCGGCCCAGGGCGACTGCGAGTTCCTGGTGCAGCGAGCCCGCGAGCTGGTGCAGCAGGACCTGTGGGCCGCCAAGGCTTGGCTGATCACGGCCCGCAGCCTCTACCCCGCAGACTTCAACATCCAGGTGAGGCCGGGCGGGGGCGCAGGTGGGGCGCTCCTCCCCGCTTCCCTGAGCCCCCAGCGAGCCCGGCCCAGGGGACCCCGGGCCCCGCTCCGGGTCAGGGCGACGGGAGCGTTACCCTCTTGGCGGTCGGGACAGCTCCTCGCGCCGCCTGGGAAGGCCGCCCGCCGGCTCGTGGGTCCGGACGGCAGCCGCGTGGGCGCGGGTAGTGGCGGGGGCAGGGGCGGGGTGGGGGTGTTCTAGGTCTCCGTGGGAGGGAGCTGGGGTGCAGTGTGGTGAACACAGGCGCCAGCTCCGGGCTGCGGCTCTGTGAGGGGACCACCGCGCATCTGCGGGCCCCGCGGTTGATAAAGGCATCCGAGTGACGCGAACGGCATAGACCTGCACCGCGTTGCCGTCCGGGATAGTCAGAAGCCCCGCTGGCCGCCGGAGACATGCCTGCGCTAATCCGGGGCCCCGGGGCCGCGCGGCGCGAGCCCTGGGGCTCCGTCAGCACGTGATGCCCGACCCTGGGACCTCCGGGGCGGTGGGGTGAGCCGGGCCGGCCGGGCGGAGGGCCTGACGCGGCCCCGGCCCGTGTTGCAGTATGAGATGTACACCATCGAGCGGAACGCGGAGCGGACGGCCACCGCCGGGAGGCTGCTCTACGACATGTGAGTGGGGACGCCGCCCCGCACCTCTCGGGAGGATTCCGTTCTGTCTGTGGCAGAGGGAGTTGGGGGAAGGTCCTCAAGTTCATCTGCGTGTCCGGCACCTAAAGCTTAACTTGGTAGTGGTCTAGGCCTTCTGTTAACTGCAGGGAAGTCTTCTTAGGTTTTATTCTTGTTACAGCTCTTCCATTCAATCATTTATTTTACTTTGGGAATAACGTATACAGGCTCCTCGCAGAAGTTGCGACGGTACTGTAGTATAAAGAATAATCAGTGGAAGTCCCTCCTAACCTCGGCCCGAATTCAGGAGTGTGTGTGTCTGTGTGCATGTACGGCCCAGGACGCATCAGTAGGTTCTGGGGGAGGAGTTGCAGCGGTGAGCGCCTGCTGCTCACCCACTGTGATGGGGCTCTTTCCAGGCCAGCATGTAGGGATCTACTTGGTTCTTTCTCCTGTCTGCATAGCGTTTCAGCCCTCTTTTCTCGGCGGACATTTAGGTAGTTCCCAGTTGTTTGAAATTATATTCAGAGTGTCAGAAAGCAGTTTTGTACTCACACTTGGGTGTTTTTCTGTAGAGTAGATTCTTAGACGTAGGTTTTCCTAGTCGAAGGGTATGCGCATTTTAAATTTCGATGCACTGTCAGATTACTCTCCAAAAAGTACTGTTCAGTTTACATCTCCACTGACCGTGCGTGAGTGCCTGTTTTCCCACACCTTCGCCAGCACTGGATATTATCCGTCTTTCCCTCAGCTGTCAATTTTTGCCGGTGCTGTAGGAGAAGGCATATCTTGCTATTTTTTAAAGATTTGTGTTTGTTGTATTACTAATAAGACTGAGTATCTTTTCAAATATTTGGCTGTTTGTATTTTTTCTGTGATTTACCTTTGCCCATTTTTTGGGGGGGGAGTTTTTTTTTCTTGTTTGCCGTTTAGTAGTGTTTTGCATATTATGGACACTTGTCTTTTCACTTATTAAAAAAAACTAAAGACTTTTGTGAGTACCCTCATTTTTCTTAGTTTTTATTTTTGTATCTTTATTTCAGTTTGTTTTGGTACATCTATGTGTTCACTTGGAATATAGTAAAATGTGTTTTTCTCTGATGCTAGCGTTTTACTTTCTTTTTTGGATACTATTTAGAATCTGACATTTTAATTTAATGCATTCATTTTAAAAATAGGTTTGTGAATTTCCCAGATCAGCCCGTGGTGTGGAGAGAAATCAGCATTATTACATCAGCATTAAGAAACGATTCACAGGATAAACAAACCCAATTTTTAAGAAGTAAGAATAAAATGATAACTTACTGGTGTATAAATTACTACTTCTGTAAGTCAGAAAGAGAAATACAAATACCGTATGCTAACGCATGTATATGGAATCTAAAAAAATGTTCTGATGAACCTAGTGGCAGGACAGGAATAAAGACACAGGCGTAGAGAACAGACTTGAGGACACAGGGGGAAAGGGGAAGATGAACAAAGTGAGAGAGTAGCACTGACATATATGCACTACCAAATGTAAAATAGCTAGTGGGAAGCTGCTACACAGCACAGGGAGATCAGCTTTGTGACCACCTAGAGGGGTGGGATAGGGAGGGTGGGAGGGAGAAGCAAGAGGGAGGGGATATGGGGATATGTGTATACATATAGCTGATTCACTTTGTTGTACAGCAGAAACTAGCACAACGTTGTAAAGCAGTTATACTCCAATAAAGATGTAAAAAATAAAATTACCAACATCGATAAATAGCTAAGGTATTAAAGCTATCATTAAGATATCAGAGATAAGATATAATAATGTGTTTTATGCTACATACTCTAGCAATATACATAATTTATAAAATTAGAAGCAAAAATGTAAAAGAAGATAATTCATCTAATTTTTATAAAATGTCTGTATGAGATTAAAAGTAATTATATTTTGGAAGTTTTGCCTACTTGGGTAAAAATACTAGCAATTACTTCACCATAGTAAAAGTGACTCACAACTGTGAACCCAATAAGATGCAGTTTTATTGAGCTGTTAATTTTAAAAATAATAATTTTCTGAAAAACAGAAATATCTAGAAAGTGATCATTCTTTTTACTGTTATTAGAACATAATGACGGTGCTATCTCATATAATACAGTTGTAGATATACCAAAATGTTTCCAAGTAGAATTATATTATAATAAAAAACATATAATTCTTTTTAAAACTTCTGGAATACCAAGTGCTGTGTAGTAATTTCACAAAAAAGTCACATCTGTGGTATTGGTACCCATATGCATGTTTTGTTCTTGGCAACTGAAGCCTGTACAAATGATGTCACTTGATCCCTTGAGCATATGCTTAGAACCCTTTAAACTTCCTTAAAGGATGTGGATTTATCAGTTAGCCTGGGAAACTGAATATATTTTAACAAGTTCTACAGTAATCATAAAACATCTGTAGATTAGACAGATCTCCACAGAACAGGAGAGAAACTTTTAGTAATTTATGACCTTTCTCATTAACCTTCACTCTGTGTTGGTTGCTATAGCCAATCCAGTATTTCAGATTTTGGATAAAAAAGAAAGTAGATTGTTTAGGTCATTTCAACTTGAGTGAGTGTTTTTTATCTCAGTCAGCAGCAAACACTGCTGTGACCCTTCCCAGACATCATTCTTCTCTTCTAGATCCAGTAAGGCCTCCAAAGGTTTTATCGTCCTTCAGCAAATATCTTATGCCCAATAATATCTGACCCCAAAGCCTTCCAGGTTGTAGGTGAACTCCAACAATAGTGATTCTTCACTTAGTATATACCATTCTGTACATGATGATGCCTTATTTCCACTTTTGCTTCCGTATTTTCTTTCTGAAAGAAACTTTTAAAAGTGAAATGTGTTATATACAGGTTTATTTGAAACTCTTCCTGGTCGGGTCCAGTGTGAAATGTTACTAAAGGTTACGGAACAATGCTTCAACACTTTGGAACGATCAGAAATGTTGCTTCTACTTTTGAGACGATTCCCTGAAACGGTGGTACAGCATGGGGTAAGATTTGATCCTTTCCTTTTTCATAAAAGAGTATAAAATTGATCAGTGGACTCACGAGTATGTTTAAGAGCTACAGTGTGTATTATTCTAAAGTAGATTATTCTAATTCTGAGGAGTACCAGATAAGATTGAATTCAAATCAAGGAATCTTTGTCAGTAAAGCTAAAAGGATGTCACTGTTACCAAACTCTATGAATATCCAGTAGGAGTTGTGTTACCAGTGTGAGGAAACAATCACCAAGCCTTGACAGTGCAACTTATCTTCAATTTGTGAAGTTCACTAAAGTTTTAAAAAATAATCTGTTTCATTGTATTGAACAGTGTGTTTGAATTTAAAGGAGAGCCATAGTTTGTATTCTTAACGTTTTTCACACGCTTTTGCCATATGGTCACTGTTTTCCCTCTACTCTGCCCTTTCCTCATATCTCTAATTATTAGTGAGTGCTACTGGCAGGCATTGGTCGGTGTTCAGTAGGTCCTTCTATACTCCTTAGATCCGTTGAGGTAGACAGCATCCTACTTTACATATATGTTAGTCACTTCCCATAGCCAGTAATGGAGAAGTGGGATTCAAATCTTTAACTTTCTTAATTCAACCTCTTTGGCTTATTCTTTCTGGCTCCACTTTTCTGGCTGTTGGCCCCAGTTAACCTTCTCTGTACGTCCATATATTAGTTTCAAGGACCGCCGTAACAAAATACCAGAAACTGGGTGCCTTAAAACAACAGAAGTTTATTCTTTCACAATTCTGGAAGCTCGAAGCCCAAAAGCAAGGTATGGGCAGGGCCGTGCTCCCCGTGAAGGCTCTGGGGAGGACTCCTGCTCACCTCATCCTGGCTTCTGGGGCACCAGCGATCCTTGTCATTCTTTGGCTTGCAGTTTCATCTCTCAGTTTCTGCCTCTGTTGTCACGTGGCCTTCTTTGTGGTCTGTGTCCCTGTGTCTTTACATGACCTTCTTATAAAGATACCAGTCATTGGGTTTAGGACCCACCCTGATCCAGTATGACTTCTACGAAGACTTTTTTTTTTTTGGCTGCGTTGGGTCTTCGTTGCTGCGCACAGGCTTTCTCTAGTTGCAGCGAGCGGGGGCTACTCTTCGTTGCGGTGCACGGGCTTCTCACTGCGGTGGCTTCTCTTGCCGCGGAGCACAGGCTCTAGGCATGCAGGCTTCAGTAGTTGTAGCATGCGGGCTCTGTAGTTGTGGCTCGCGGGCTCTAGAGCACAGGCTCGGTAGTTGTGGCACACGGGCTTAGTTGCTCGGCGGCATGTGGAATCTTCCCGGCCCAGGGCTCGAACCTGTGTCCCCTGAATTGGCAGGCAGATTCTTAACCACTGCACCACCAGGGAAGTCCCACGAAGACCTTTTTTATAAGATAAAAAATATATGAGGTCACGTTCTGAGGTTCTGAGTGGACATGAATTTTGGGGGCGATGCTGTTCAACCTGGTGTCCTCGCTGATGATTACTCTTTTAACTTTCTGTCTCATGTAATTGTTTACATGGTTCCCCTCTCCCCCCACCCCATGCATCCCCAGGTGGTTGCCAGGAAGATGATGCAGGTGTTGGTGGATTTGGAGCAGCCAAGCTTTCTACTAGGCTAGGGCATCAGTAATGGGAAGGTGGCCTTCTCAAACAGTTGTGTCCGACCTAGTCCAGGCTGTATGACTGACTACTCCCGGCAACTCTTGAAAATGTTAAGTTTTGTCTACATAATACATCTTGATGTAGAGAATAAAGTTAGTTTCTACATTTCTTAGAAAAATCTCTACATCTGTATTATCAAACTAGCTCCAGTGCTTCCATTAAGTTTCTTAGACATTTTAATTTTACTAGTTCAGGGGAGAATAACCAAGACAGAGTGGTCTGTGGTCAGGTGAATGTGGGGTTCCCTTCTGGGTGGTGTTGCTGATGCATTCTTTTGTTTTCTAGTCTTTAAAATGATAATATTTGTTTCTTGGGTAAGTTTGAATATACAAACTATGTGGTAAATCAAATATGGTGTTTATTCATGTAATTCTGACATCTGAAACTTAACACAAATGATTAATTGTATTTTGAAACAGGTTGGCCTTGGGGAGGCACTATTGGAGGCTGAAACTATTGAAGAGCAAGAATCTCCTGTTAACTGCTTTAGAAAATTATTTGGTAAGAAAAATTACATTTTGTATTCATTCCTTATGCTAAGTAGAATATGCTGGGGGTAAGTGTCATTTCAGAAATAAGGTCATTTGTGGAAAGCAGAGGAACTCTTCGTATTATGGGATTTAAATCCGTGTTTATTTTTTCAGTTCAGAAAGCATTTTAAACAACTCCTAAATTTTTATTATGTAATAGTTGATACCTCTGAAAGAATATGTGTAACCATGTGTTTGAGTATGAAGCATACTAATAAACACCTGAATTTCCACCCAAACATCACTCATAATGTGGAATCTGCCTGTGTGTTTCCTTCCTGACTCCATCCACTGGTGTCCCTCTGCACTGCAGTTTTTAAATAAATGTGCCATAAGGGGTTTCTTTTTTGCCTATATATTTTAGGTACTACATTAAGTGAACTCTAAAATAAATTTTGTTTTTGCCAGAACCCTAGAGTAGACAAACAGCTTAATCGGTTTTTCCTCATTTTCCCTCTTCAACAGTGTGTGATGTCCTTCCTCTAATAATTAACAACCATGATGTTCGGTTGCCCGCCAATTTGTTGTATAAGTACTTGAACAAAGCAGCTGAATTTTATATCAATTATGTCACTAGGTCTACTCAAATAGAGAGTCAGCATCAAGGTAAGTGGGAATAACCTGCAGTTTATTTTATTGTATTTTTTATTTTGTAAAATTTCAAGCTCAGAAATCCCTCAACATTCTGATTATTCTCCTCTGGATACAATACCAGTTTGATAGTCTTGCTAAAAGATGGTTCCTAGAAAAAAACACTACAGTTAAAAGATGAGACTTTTCTGGAGCCAGTTTTACCCCTCGATTGAAGCAGTGAACCTGCTGAACTGTAAGGTTAGCTACATACATTAACCACAGCTCAAAGGTCCCTTCCTACTGTACCGGGGCCAGTGGTGGGTCTTTGAATAAAACACACAACATGTTGAAGTTCTGTGTTCTTGCCTCTTGCATGGGGAGTTAGACGTTTTTTCTCTATAAAGTACCGCATGAATAGTAAGTAGTAATGGTAATTGTAAACTACTTTTTTTTTTCACATCTCAGGTACCCAAGAAACGTCTGATTTAATGTCACCAAGCAAACGTAGCTCTCAGAAGTACATAATAGAGGGGCTGACTGAAAAATCATCCCAGATCGTGGACCCTTGGGAGAGGTTGTTTAAGATTTTGAATGTTGTTGGAATGAGATGTGACTGGCAGATGGATAAAGGAAGACGGTACAAAACTGTTCATTTCTAAGATTGCATAACAAATCTTTTGATAGCATACTCTCTATAAAACAAAATACTTTTTTCTAAAAGCATATAATGTATAGGTACACCTCTGTCTGGGCAAATTCTGTAACACTCAGTATTTATGCAAAAGAGTGTGGTTTTTCACTTTATTAAAAGATTCCCAACGGGAGTATGAACTCTTAAGGTGATATTGAGCTTGAAGAACTCCTTGGTGTTTAGAGGAAAGAGAAGCTACTTGGCATGTTTGTGTCATGAACTCTTGGCCTGTTGCTGCTCTAATTCGGAAGAGGAATTTGCATCCATATGCAGACAATGAAGAATAGTTTTACATGCCTAGAGCCACATTTGGTAGTTGTAATGGTTCTATTGGGGCTTTTCTCTGGTAGACCTTTTGCTGACAAGCCCAGAGTAATTAAATAATTTTTATTGTCCTTCACCTTTCAGAAGCTATGGTGATATTTTGCATAGAATGAAGGATCTCTGCAGATACATGAACAACTTTGATAACGAAGCTCATGCAAAATATAAAAACCAAGTGGTTTATTCCACTATGTTGGTCTTCTTTAAGAATGCATTTCAGTATGTCAACAGCATACAGCCGTCTCTATTCCAAGGTTGGTTGAAGAATTTTAGAGTGTCTCAAAATACTGGCCTCATTGTAGGTGGTGAGGAAGATGAAAATGTTTACCTTAACATTGTTCTTGGATCCAAGTAATTGCGGGGTGATGCCAGAGCTTTCATTAGTTGTTGGTTTTTATGTAAGAAAGTTTTCATTAAAAACTTAAATATCAAAGGATGTAGTGGTACTGTGAAACTACAGATATTGAACGCCTCTTTTAAAAAAGCAGCAGATGTAGCTAAGTACTGAAGTAGATTTCACAATGACTTCTCAACAGACAAAGATTTTTAAAATAAGATGTATGCATATAAATTCTAGAGAATGTGAAAAACAGGAAACCTACAGGGTGAAATCACCCACAATACATCCAGTATAATGCAGCTCTCATTTTTGTGTATTGACTATAGTGTTTCATATATTTAGATTTGTTTGGAATTTATAACAATAATGTATGTGTGTATGTGTGACTTGGTAGTTTTTCTTTTTTTGGTAATTTTATGCTTCGTGATCATTGTAAAAAATTGTCCACCATTGAGAAAGAACCTTTATTAACAATTTGGTTTATATCTGTATAGTTTTTCATTTCTGTATATGTATATGTATACTTATTTGTTTACCTAATTGGGATGATACTGAATGTATTTTCACACGATGTTTGAGTAAATTTCCACCTGATATTAAGTACTGTTTTCCCTGCTGCATTTTTAAGTGTTGGTGTTTTCCCTCCATCCACAGGTCCTAATGCCCCTAGCCAAGTTCCACTGGTTCTTCTGGAGGACATATCAAATGTATACGGTGATGTAGAGATTGATCGCAGTAAACACATACATAAAAAGAGGAAACTAGCTGAGGGAAGAGAAAAAACCATGGTAATTCTTTCAGATATAATTGTTAACAGATTATATGTTTATGGTTTGCTAGAAATGAATCTTTGTAAAACATGGCTCTGGAGCTAAATTGATAAAGCTTGGGTCTTTTAATTATAAAATATAATTGCTATATAAAATCAGTGGTTCTCCACTAGAGGTGATTTTGCCCCCTGGGTTATTTGACAGTGTCCAAGGACATTTTTGATGGTCATGGCTCAGTGGGGAGGGGTTACTGTTAGTATCTAGTGAACGGAGGCCAGGGATGCTGTTAAACATGCTCCTGTGCACAAGGAGAGCCCCACAGCAAAGAGTTATCCAGCCCCAAAGGCCGCTAGTGCTGAGGCTGGGGAGCCCTGGTATAAGTCGTTTATACCTGTTTGACTTAGTGCCATCGATTAAATTTAAAAGGCAAAACCAAATAAACTACCTTGGACATATAGAGCGGGGTGCCGAGGGGCACTGGCCGCTGAACGGGGAGTTCTTAGCCATCGGGGTAGGAAGTCATAACCCAAGGGGAGATGTTGGAAAGGTCCCATGAAGGAGGTTGGCATTTGACGCCAGCCTCGTAGGGTTTTGTTGTTTGGAATTGGAAAGTAGATTTTGTTAAGAGGGGGCAGCTTGCACAAAGATGCAGGAAACCAGAGAGAGTGAACCATCAGTCTTCTGGTCTGGCCTGCCGGCAAGCCAGTGCCCAGCGCTGATTTTCGAACTCTTTTTAAGCAGAGGAATCCTTTCTTTCAAGGAACACTTTTGTGGAGGCCCATCATGTAATGTGACAGTGGGGATGCTCTCGGTCAGGTCTCAGCAAACTTTGTCCTGTAAAATGCCGGGTGGTGAATGTTTCAGGCTTTGCAGGCCACGCGTCTCCATTGCAGATACTCAGCTCTGCTCCTAAAGTGCAGAAATAGCCACAGACAGCGGGAGACAGCAGGGTTTGTCCTGCAGGGCACAGCGTGCCAGCCCCTCTTCTGGTGGAAGTGTGAGGGCAGCCAGGAGTCTCACCCAACTTCTGTCCCCGCTTCTCTCCGCCTTTCAGTTTCTTACATGCTCTTCTTCAGCCCTTGGGTAACATTTAACGAGACCCTGGCTTGGTGAGAGACAGGTCTGGAAATCAGTTTACTCTGATGTCTCCAAGGTTCTGGAGTATAAAATGGTTTGGAGTGGGAAGACGTGGCCCATTCTGAATGTGCGTGTAAGGGTATTAACTAGTTCTGAAAAACTGGTTTGTTTCCTTCCACAGAAAAATGCTCAACATGCACAATTTTGCTTTGAAGCCCAACCCTGAACCCCAGGCTGAGATCTCCATGCTAACCAGGCTTTCCCAGATGCCCTCTGTCTGCTCTTTCTTTCTTTCCTGACATTCCCAGGCGGGGTAGCTCTCGTCAGCTCTCCCTTCTGCTTTCTGAGGGTGTGTGGTTTCACAGTAAGACCACAGACACCTCTCCCACCCACATAGGTGGTAGGTTGTGTGTCCCTAGTCTCAATGAAAAGCAGTGGCCTGTCATTCAGTGTATGTAGCGTAGCCGCGCCCTGAGTTTCTCTCCATCCCCTCCCTGTCCAGGCACCACGGCCTCTGCCCCGGCTCACCCGAGTCATCATCCTGGCTCCCTGCTCGCACTCTTGCCTCCCACAATCTCTCCTCTCCCCAGCAGCCTTAGTGACCTTTTTTACAATGTGAGTCAGACATGGCTTCTGCCTCTGACGGCTCCGCATCACTCTAAGAATAAAATCCAGACTCTTTCCTTTGGCTTCAGAACATGCACTGAGCCGCCCTCGGTGCTGCAGACACGCTGGCTGCCGCTGCCGCTGCTCCTGCCCGGGCCCTGGCGTAGCTCATAGCCATGCACTGGGACGGAGTGCCTTTCTGTGCCTGGCTGGGTCCCATCGGGCAGTGCTCAGCCCAGAGCTGAGCTCTCTCCCGGAGGCTGCCTCCAAATGGCCATCAGTTTTCTCTTTTTATTACTGTATCTTAATTCTGCATAGCCCTTATTGCTATTTATTTTTCATTCTTTCTTGGTTGGTTGGTTTGCTGTCCATGTCCCTTCACCAGAGTACAAGCTCCACGGGGCCAGTGACAGTGTCTGGGCATCCATTTGAACGGTGTCTGCGCCCCAGCAGGCCTTCGGTGAGCTCTGGTGTGCAAGGGGATTCACACATGCCCTTCCGGGTGTGGGTCCGGGCAGTGGTACAGCTGTTTAGCCTCTGGCCCATCCGTTCCTCCTTCCATCCTTCACTCGTCGTGTGCCGTCTAGCAGGCTCTGCTCTCATGCTCTGGCCCTCCAGGCAGTCTGGGGTCTCTGTCCCACTGCCTGCCCCACCCAGTGCAGGTCCAGCCAGGTCTGTTTGTCCCACTATGGCAAGGGACATACCTGGTGGCCCATGAGCTCAGCTCACAGACCTGTCTTGTTTTACTCGTAGTGTTTTGTTTTGTTTTGTTTTGACTAACCTAGCACCTAAAACTTGGAAGCTTTCTCTCACTATCCAGATGTCTGACTTCCCTTTAATAATTGGTGTCTCTGATAATGCTGGCCCTTGTGGAGGCCCACCCCTGCAGTGGGGTGGACATTCTCCCCGCAGCCTAAGTGCCTGCCAGGCAGCTGGAGCCGGGGGCAGTCTTCCCTGTGGGCAGGGTGTTCCACCACATACACTCGTGTACCTTCCCTGAGGTCAAGACTCCTGCTTCAGAGCATCCCCGCAGAGCCTCAGAGTGCATTTCTGTATTTCGAAATCAATTTCTCTAAATTTTACAGACTGTTTGGAACTCCACACTATCCCCACCACATCTGAGGCCCTTCCAGAAACTCCTGATCTCATTTTGAGGCAGGAATGTGTTCCAAGAGTTGCCACGGCGATGAACACACCATTCCTATTACTGTATCTCACTAGATGGCCCACGTGTAGCCCACATGTGGCCCCAATGAGCTAAGATGCCTGACAGATGGTTTTGGTTTTGAAAGGAATTGGGGTGTGTGTCATTACTAAGGGGATAAGAATATGAAGCTAACTAGGGTGGGACGGTGAGGGTCCCTAGCTGTCAACGAATGGGGAGAAAGGTGGGTAGTGGGAGGGAGGTGCCAATTTTTTCTGAGTTTAGCTTGAGGATTGGAGCTTTTTTTGTTTGTTTTAACTATAGTTGTTTTACAATGTTGTGTTAGTTTCAGGTGTACAACTTCAGATTCTTTTCTATTCTACGTTATTACAAGATATTGAATATAGTTCCCTGTGCTGTGCAGTAGGTCCTTGTTGGTTATCTATTTTATATATAGTAGTTTTTATCTATTAATCCCATACTCCTAGTTTATCTCCCCCCGCCCCCCCTTTCCCCTTGGTCACCATAAGTTTGTTTTTTATATCTGTGAGTTTGTTTCTGTTTTGTAAATAAGTTTATTTGTGTCTTTTTTAGATTCTACATACAAGTCATATCATATAATATTTGTCTTTCTCTGACTTACTTCACTTAGTATAATAGGTCCATCCATTGGTCCTGCAAATGGCATTATTTCATTGTTTTTTGTGGCTGAGTAGTGTTCCATTGTACATATATACCACATCTTCTTTATCCATTCATCTGTTGGTGGACACTTGGGTTGCTTCCATGTCTTGACTATTGTGAATAGTGCTGCTATGAAGATTGGGGTGCACGTATCTTTTCCAATTAGACTTTTCGTCTTTTCCACATATATACCCAGGAGTGGGATTGATGGATCATATGGTAGCTCTACCTTTAGTTTTTTAAGGAACCTCCATACTGTTCTCCATAGTGGCTGCACCAATTTACATTCCCACCAACAGTGCAGGAGGGTTCCCTTTGCTGCACACCCTCTCCAATGTTTATTATTTGTACACTTTTTAATGATGGCCATCTTGACCAGTGTGAGGTGATACCTCATTGTAGTTTTGATTTGCATTTCTCAAATAATTAGTGTTGTTGAGCATCTTTTCACGTGTCTGTTGCCATCTGTTTGTCCTCTTTGGAAAAATGTCTGTGTAGGTCTTCTGCCCATTTTTTGACTGGGTTGTTTGTTTCTTTGATATTGAGCTGCATGAGCTGTCTGTATATTTTGGAAATTACTCCCTTGTTGGTCGCATTGTTTGCAAATATTTTCTACCAGTCCATTGGTTGTCTGTTCGTTTTGCTTACGATTTTCTTTTTTTTTTAAAACATCTTTACCGGAGTATAATTGCTTTACAATGGTGTGTTACTTGCTGCTGTATAACAAAGTGAATCAGCTGTACATATACATATATCCCCATATCTCCTCCCTCTTGCATCTCTCCCTCCCATCCTCCCTACCCCACCGCTCTTGGTGGTCACAGAGTACGAGCTGATTTCCCTGCGCTATGCAGCAGCTTCCCTCTAGCTATCTGTTTTACATTTGGTAGTGTATATATGTCCATGCCACTCTCTCATTTCGTCCCAGCTTATGCTTCCCCCTCGCCGTGTCCTCAGGTTCGTTCTCTACGTCTGTGTCTTTATTGCTGTCCTGCCTCTAGGTACTTCAGAACCACTTTTTTTTTTTTTTAGATTCCATATGTATGTGTTACCATATGGTATTTGTTTTTCACTCTGACTTACTTCAGTCTGTAGGACAGACTCTAGGTCCATCCACCTCACTACAAATAACTCAATTTCATTTCTTTTTATGGCTGAGTAATATTCCAGTGTATATATGTGCCACATCTTCTTTATCCATTCACCTGTCAATGGACATTTAGGTTGCTTCCATGTCCTGGCTATTGTAAATAGAGCTGCAATGAACATTGTGGTACATGCCTTTTTTTGAATTATGGTTTTCTCAGGATATATGCCCAGTAGTGGGATTGCTGGGTCATATGGTAATTCTATTTTTAAATTTTTAAGGAACCTCCATACTGTTCTCCATAGTGGCTGTATCAATTTACATTCCCACCAACAGTGCAAAAGGGTTCTCTTTTCTCCACACCTTCTCCAGCATTTATTGTTTGTAGATTTTTTGATGATGGCCATTCTGACTGGTGTG